GACGCGGGGGGTCCCTTGGGCTCCCTGCGCTGCCGGGAGTGAGGGGGGGGAGCTGCCCCCGTGCCCCTCCACACCTGGGAGGTGGAGGGGGAACCGGTCAGCCCCGACGGGAGGGGATGGGCCATACATCGACATGCAGGGTTAAAAATCATTAAAAAGGGGCTGTGTCACCCTAACGAGCCGGGAGCAGCAGGGACGGGGATGTGCGGAGCTGGGGGTCAGCCCCCAGCCCGGTGGGAGCTGAGGAGGAGAGGGGCCAGAGCCCGGCCAAGACCCACGAAGGAGGGGAAAAAAAAGACCATTTTTCTAGCCAAGAAAACCACAGAGTCGAGTGAGAGATGGGGGGAGCACCCCCGGGCCCCATCCTGACCCCTGGGCCCCATCCTGACCCCCCCAGAGAAGGAACACACCGGGATGCTGGGGGCTAAGGGGTGGTGCTGAGATGTAGGATGCCTTGTCCCACCAAACCCACACGCTGGAGGGGCTCGTTGCTCCCCCCACACGGAGAGGGGGCTGTGGGGCAGAGGTGGGGGGGACATGGGAAAGGCACGTGAGGATCAGCCAAGCTCCAGCGAGCCCCAGTCCTGCAGCACGGGGTGCCCATGGCCCCCCAGGGGAGAAGGTAGACCCTGGGCTGAGGCCCAATTTGCTTGGGGACATGGTGGTGGCCCTGTGGGGAGGGGTGGTCCTGGTGGCCTCGGGGGCTGCAGCCACCATCCAGCTGCTGGGTTTTGGGAGGGGGGGGGCGAATTGGGGACGTTCAGGCAGAGCTGCTCTCCCCAGAGCCCAATCTCCCACTCACAGAGAGGACGCAGCCGTTAGAAAGAAGAAAACATTTAATACTTTCATTCAGAGATACAAGTTGAGATTTGTGGGTCATTTTTTTTTTTTTTTTTCTTTTTCTCCTAAAAAGCAGGAGAAACCATTACAAAAAAAAAAAAAAAAAAAAGGGTCTAGCAAGTTGTCCCAGCTGACAAAACGCCATTTCCATCCACCTGAGTGGGACTCAGCGTTCCTGGAACGTGACCCCCCCTCCCCGGGTCCCCACCGGGGGGGGGACAGAGACCAGGTCCCCGAGGACACGGGGGGTCCCTTGGGCTCCCTGCGCTGCCGGGAGTGAGGGGGGGGAGCTGCCCCCGTGCCCCTCCACACCTGGGAGGTGGAGGGGGAACCGGTCAGCCCCGACGGGAGGGGATGGGCCATACATCGACATGCAGGGTTAAAAATCATTAAAAAGGGGCTGTGTCACCCTAACGAGCCGGGAGCAGCAGGGACGGGGATGTGCGGAGCTGGGGGTCAGCCCCCAGCCCGGTGGGAGCTGAGGAGGAGAGGGGCCAGAGCCCGGCCAAGACCCACGAAGGAGGGGAAAAAAAAGACCATTTTTCTAGCCAAGAAAACCACAGAGTCGAGTGAGAGATGGGGGGAGCACCCCCGGGCCCCATCCTGACCCCTGGGCCCCATCCTGACCCCCCCAGAGAAGGAACACACCGGGATGCTGGGGGCTAAGGGGTGGTGCTGAGATGTAGGATGCCTTGTCCCACCAAACCCTGAGCTGGGACCCCTCACACCCCCTTTTCCTCAAGCCCCCGGCTCTTGGGGGATCCCCTGGATCCAAGACACGGGGCAGGATCATTGGATCTGCCCAAACCAGGGCTATTAAACTGGTTTTTCAACCCAGCCCAGAATAAGCTGGCCCTTCACCTTGCCCCCATGATGCTGAAGAATTAACCCAGTTTAAACTCCGCGAGCCCCAGTCCTGCAGCACGGGGTGCCCATGGCCCCCCAGGGGAGAAGGTAGACCCTGGGCTGAGGCCCAATTTGCACCCTCCC